GGTGAGGGGTGCGGGGGAGGGGCTGCAGAAGCAGCTGAAAGGGTGGAGAAGCCAGAGTGGAATTTGGCAGCAGACCCAAGGGAAGCCACCTGCACTCCTGGCACAGTTGGCATGGGTCTGGGTCTTAGGAGGGAAGAACAGAGAGTAGAAGGGGAATCAGCGCAGAGGCATTTGGAACTTGGTGCAGGGTCCTGGCTGGGATATAGACGAGACCGAACATGTCACACCCTCTTGCCGCATGTCATGTTAGGCAGCATGCCAGGTGTTTTCCGAGCATTACCTTATGGGGTGGAGGAGAGGCTGGGACTGGGACTCCCCCTAAGCCAGCCTTTGTACTGGGCCAGTTTCCCCCTTACCCCCCAGACTCCTCTCAACAGGCCACGGTTAGGTCTATGCCGGAGGCTGCAGGCTCAGAGTCCCAACCCCTCCCAGTGACTCTCTGTGGGGCAGACACGTTGCCAGTGTCACCCCTACAACAAGGGAAAGAATCCAGCTGAGATGGCAGCAAGCCTCCTTCCTGCCAGGCCTAATGAGAGGGGCCCTCCCTCCCCCTGTTCTCTCTGCTTTAACTTAAAACCAACTCAACTGTTTTTCCTCGCCAGTATGTTTTCCTATGTTTTCCCCAAGCCCTGAGGGTGCCCTCTGACCCTTTCTCCTCCTGTCCCCTCTGGCATCTTGACTTTTCCTCATTTCAGAATGACAGGGGAGGGGCGGGGAGAGCCCAGCTAGTACCCTCCATGTGCTGGAACCTCATTCCCAGGCCTGCTGGCCCTCATGGGTTTTTCAGCAACTCCGACGACCACTTACTGAAAAACATCGAACTGTTTGACAAGCTCTCCCTGCGCTTCAATGGCCGTGTGCTCTTCATCAAGGACGTCATTGGCGATGAGATCTGCTGCTGGTCCTTCTACGGCCAGGGGCGTAAGCTGGCAGAGGTGTGCTGCACCTCCATTGTGTATGCCACGGAGAAGAAGCAGACCAAGGTATGGGGGGGTTCCCTCTGCATAGGTGGGGGCAGGACACACACCAGTGCAGCCCCAACGGAGCCTTTCATCACAGGGAGCAAAAGGCATCCATTTTGCTCTGTTTCTCCCAAACTTGCCATGATGGTGCCGGGTATGGATAAAAGGCAATACAAGGGGCTCAGGGAATGGCACGGGAACTGTTTGTTGTAGTCAGCTGAGGGCCACTGGGAAGGGAACAACCAGTGCAATGGAAAGAACCAGGTCTTTGGAGTTGGCCCAATTCCGGTTTGAATTCTGGTCGCACCATGTACCAGTTTTCAGACTTTGGATAAGCCATTTAAACCATTTGGGCCTCAGTTTCCTCATTTGCAAACATGGGAATGATAGTGCGAATTTAACAGAGCTGTTATGAAAATGAGACAGTTCTTAAGCAGTGCATTGTAGTGAAAATAACTGTTCAGGCCTCTTTGGTCCTTGCTAGTTGGCTGTTCCTGGTCAATCAGCTTAGCCTGTGCAGTAACAACTCAGTGCCAGGCATCTGTGAGGGATCTGTTAGGTGACAGTTAACAAAAACTCAGCTAACCCTGCTCTCCCAGGCTGCAAGCAGTCAGTGCCCTCCCCAGAGTAGCTGCCTGCCGTCAGGGTGTGTTCTGGAGACAGCAAGGCTTTGCTGGGGTGGGAGGGCACCTCATCTGGAGCAGAGTCGGGTGCGTGTGAAGGGCCGAAAGCAGCCAAGCTGGTGTAACGCCTTGGCCCCCAGACTACTGAAGTACCTACAGCTGGGCAGTCTGAGGGTCAGGGAAGGACTGCTTACAGGAGGTAGCCCTGCCTCCTCCTGTCATTTTTGCGGGTGGGGGCTCCATGTGCACATATCAATGGAGTCAGGATTCAGGGGCGGCAGGTTTTTGGGGGGTCTGGCTACACTGTGGAAGTGGTGGCAGCATCTTGTCATGTTAAGTGCTGTCTCTCTCATGAACTTTTTGACTCCTCACACCACATCTGTGAGACAGGCAGGCCTAGAACCATTTGACAGGTGACGGAACAGAAGCTCAAGATGACACAGCAAATTAGGCTGGAATTCAGGTGCCTTGAATGCCATCCCTTTCGGTCTTTTAATTAACATTCACAACAACTCTCAGAGGTAGATATTAACCATGATTTTACACATGTGGAAACTGAGGCACAGCAAGGTTAGGCCCAGGGCCCTATAGCTAGTAAGTACTGGAGCTGTACTTGTACCTGGGCCTAACCACAAAGCCAAGGCCCTAACCTCTGCACATACTAGTCCACGCGTCTGGGATCCGGTAGGGCGTGGAGAGGGTGCCTTCTGCATCCTTATGTGCATAGAGTACCTCTCACATCTTCAGAGGGAGGCCTACCCTCCCGCATGGGACAGCCATCTGTCTCGTGAGAGTTCAGGAGACCTTTGGAGCCAGCACAGGGCGGGGGGCCCTAATATGCTGCCCACTCTCTGGGAGGCAACCTCGTTCAGTCAGTCCTTTCGTCCCCCCTCACCCCAGGTGGAATTCCCAGAGGCCCGAATCTATGAGGAGACGCTCAATGTCCTACTCTACGAGACCCCCCGAGTCCCTGACAACTCCTTGTTGGAGGCCACAAGCCGTAGCCGCAGCCAGGCTTCCCCCAGTGAAGATGAGGAGACCTTTGAACTGCGGGACCGTGTCCGCCGCATCCATGTCAAGCGCTACAGCACGTATGATGACCGGCAGCTCGGCCACCAGTCTGCCCATCGCGACTGACAAGACCCTCAGGGAGTCAGGGCACAGGACGCCCTGTCTCCCCTCTTGTGGAGCCCCGCCCCATTTGCCACCCCACACTGCTGCTGGCTGGGTCTCTGCTCCAGCACCCAGAGGCATGACAGGCCTTGCCTGGGAGGTCAGAGGGCCTGAGTAGAGGGAGGGACCGTATTCCTTTGCCCTGCTCCCTGAGCACTTCAGGATGACTGAGTCCCGGCTTCTTTGCCCAGCATCCTCCTGCCTGCCTGACGGGGAGTATTCTGTCCCTGGGTGAGTGGACCGACCTGCCCACCTCCTCCTAAGAACATTCCCCTTGGCCCTCTGCTCTGCTGAAGGGCTACTTCTGGACCTTAGCTGAGGCCCATAGAGAATGGGTTCATTCTGTGAAGGTGGCTGCTGGTGCTATGGAGGCGCAGTTTCTTAGAAGGTGGGGCTCCTTTTGTTCCTAAGGTGTTTAAGCACAGGCTTGGTGACTATTATTTTTAAAATAATCCAGGAAATTAATAGTTATAGGTCTAATGAGGGGACTGGGTATTCCTGCTACCCCTCCAGGGTGCCAACAACCTGGGTAAGGCAGAACCCCAGGCTCTTCTCGATGCCTTTGGGATCTATTTCTTTAAAGCACTTTGTACTTTGGTTCAGGAGATGTGTATTCCCTGACCCATGTTGTCTTTTTCTGATCCTAGTAATCCAGTCTTCCCTGCAGAATCAATCTGAGGGAGGGGATAAAAGAAGCAATAAAAACACTGACCAGCTTCGGCTTTGCCTGGCTGGCCAAGCAGCCAGCCCAGAGCGCGCTGAGGAAGGATGTGTAAGCTGGGACCTGTGGTCCTAACACCCCTGTGAAAACGGACATTTTACCCCAATATCTTAGAGTCACAGAACTAACTCCTAGGTTCTAGCATGATTGCTCTTTTTGATTCTCTTGCCGTTGTCTCCAAAGCATGCTGTCCTTACCGTGAGGCCAGGAGCATGGGTCACAGCAGGAAGGCTGTGGAGCCCGTGGGCAGTGGGCATCGTCCTGCATTCCTGGCAGCACTGTGCAGAGGTGGCATGTGCTTGGTCACACGTCTCCTCCTCCCCCATCCATGCTATTGGGTTTGTGTTCTGGCTGGGGATAGTGGTTCTGCCCAGTGGTGAGTCTAAACACAGGATGATGTGAGCAGCCTAAGCCCCTTGAAAGGTTTCTTCATTTCTTTTTTGTTGGGTAACTTGGCCATGGAGGTGCCAAGCACCAGCTTTTGGGCAAAGGTGTGAGTTCCTCTTCAGGGCTTTGGTTTTCATTCCCTTCTGTTTAGTTTGGCCCTTGGGAGGCTGCTTATCCGAATTCTTTTCCAAAGGAATGCCATCAGGGAGGGAGTGTTCAGCCAGCCTAACAAAACAATATAGTCACTTACCAATACCCACTCATTTGGAAAGGGACATAGGTTCTCAAGTTCATCTCTCTTGACTACTCTTACTGTAAGCCCATAAGTGGCTGCTCCTGGCCGACCCCACAGAGCCTGTGGGCAAATGCCAGGCCGGGTTAGCAGACACTCAGCAAGGACCTGAAATGACATGATGTGGCAGGGAAAATAGAACTAATCAGACATTTTACACTTGTCACAGTCTTGAATGTATAGACTTTCAGGGGAGTCACCCTGCTGATCAGCTATGAATAGTTCTTCCAGCCCTCAATGAAGTAACAAGATGAAGACAAATCCATTTCTTTGGCCAGATTCCAGCTTTGGCTCTGTCTTTCCCACAGAACCTGGAACACTTCTGCCTGCAGCCACTGGCCTATTTCTTCAGCTGTCCTCCTGAAGTCCTTTAAATACTCCCAAGTCCCAGCTCCCCACTGAGGTATTTGAATGATTGTCTTTGACCTTCGTAACCCCTGTAGCCCCCTTACTGCTTTGACATTCAGATCCTCTGTTGTCTCAGTGGCTAGTATTCCTAAGAAAGCATGATAGTCTGGGACTCTGGGTACTTTCTCTGATTGAAAATATGGCCTTGGTCTTAGAAAAAACACTAACACTGAACTCACTGAAGTAGTCTTAGCTTTTTAAATCAGACTTTGTGGTGTAAAGGTTTAGAGAATTTTGAGTTTCCCAGCTCCATTCAGAAAGCAGCTCTTGGTTGTGTGAAATTTTCAACTCTGAGTAACCCAGGGAAAAGGAAACAAAGTGTGGATGAAAGTCAAACGTCATCCGTGTCTGAGAAAACTGGAAGCCTGCTGTTAACCACATGTACCAGTATAGGGTTTTATTCAGTTTGTTATCTGACCAAGGTCTGCCTGAAGGATGGCACAGGTCCTGGCATAAGAGAACGTCTCCTTTATCATGTAACTACAGTTGTTCAGCATAGGTGATGGAAACAAACACTAATTTCTAATAAAATTGTGTTACACTGCAGTGGCAGAGATCTGCTTAAAGTGCGTGGAGCTTGGTCAGCTCACTGCTGTGGACCCAGTTCTTGTATTTGTGTTCACCACCTGACCTTGTGTTCTCCTTCAGCTCTAAGTGATTGTACTCAGTTGCCCTGGAACCCAGGCTCCCCCTGGTGGAGGATTAAGAACAACACTAATAATGGCTGAAATTGAGATTTAATATTAACTCAAGAATAAAATGACCTCTTTAACAATCACTATGGTTGTGGGGGAGCAGGAACCCTACAAATCAGGGCAAAACGCAGCACATTTCACTGCTGGCTCTTGGAGGTCTGTGAGAAGTTCCGAAAGTAGCTTGGCTTAGTCGCCATCCATACCTAAAGCTCCTCGGCTGAATTTCTGCCTTTATGGTCTGGAGGCTTGACAGACTCGTGCTCATAGCTGGCAAGCCCATTGTTCCTGGAAACCTTACTGACTTGCTCACTCCTCTCCCAGGCCCAAGGAGGCCAGAGATGCCACTGGTTGGCCAGCACTAAGAATCAGGCCACTCCTCTGACCCTGATGTTGGCCTCCCACTCTCCACTTGGCTGAAGGTAAAGAAAACAAGAGTCCAGTCCAGCCCCGACCCCGCTGGCTGAGAGGCACAGTGACCCTGGGAGACATCCAGCCAACCTCCAGCCTTAAGAGGGGAAACACACATACCCTAGTAGAAGGGGCAGCTTCCTGGAAGGACATCAAAGAAAGCAATCAAGGGCCCCCACTGGGTCGAAAAGGAAGCCTGAGACCCTGGAGGCAGAAATGGCAAAGGTGGCCAAGCGTGCACTGGTTTATTGACCAAATGTCACATTTCAAACAACTTGTGTGACAGGCCTGAAAACTCCTTCGGGCCTGTGGCAGCTGAACACAGAGTTCCTGGTGGAAAGGTCTACTGAAACACAGTGTAGGCAGGGCTTACAGGGGAGGCTAGTCTTGGACGAATCCTACATGAGTCTTCTGGAGAAAACTGTCACAGCCCACCCACCACAAAAACCCACAACCAAATGGCTCAAACAATTAAGAGACCCACTGTGGCCCCTGATGGAGAGAGTTCTGCAGCAGTTCTGGGATGAGAACTGTTCTTCAGGGGCCGAGCCTAGGCACTCAGGGCCTCAGCTGGCCTACCAGTGAAGGCCTGAGGGTGGTGTCTTCTCATCTTTATTGCTTTCCAGGGAGAAGGGAGGGATCCGGACATCAAAGTGGGAGCCATCCGGTCTCTCGAAGCGGAATGTACCCCTGTGGGTCAGAGAAGCTGGTTTAGAGGGAGGGCGAAGGACCTCTTGAGGATCTCGATAGCCCTATGTCCTCAGCCCCAGAACCACAGCAGGGTGAGGCAGGACTGGGCTCTCTTCTGCCTGGCTCATGCCAGGATAACACTGGTCCAGAGACCCAAGAGCCCTTCCTGGCCCTATATGAAAAGAAACACAGCTGTTCTGATTCTGGCTCTTAGATGCACTCTGCATAAGTTACCCAACTACACTTTCAGGTTAAGGAGTGAAACACCAGGGGGAAAAAAACCAACTACATGGGCAACTCGGTGCAGCATCAAATGACCACTTATTTGGTAATTACCACTTATTTGGCTTAAGTCATCCATTCACAAAACCACAGGGGACTGGAAAATAGATGGTCATGAAAAATCTGACAAGTCCCAATGAACAATGAACAGCAGATAAGGCTCCATCTCCGGACTGAACTTGGCCTAGAATTAACTGCAAGCTATGAGCTCCCACTTTTCTGACCTGTGCCGTGTCTGTGGAGTTGAGCTGCCCCTGCCCCAGCACACGCTCACTTACCACATGTGCCCACTGGAAGCTTGCAGGGAGACGTGGCTGCTGTACTGGAACGCAGGCTGCTCCTTGGATAACACTGGTTCCTGGGAGGGTTCAGGCAAAATAGGTCAGGCCAGACAAGCTCCCCGTACCCTGGGGCCAGATGCTGCCTGCCAGTTCATCGGGACTGGATGCCCTCATGCTTCGCACGATGACTGCCTGCCAGTGCTTCCTCCACCGCACAGCCATGGACCTGGGCCTTCTATTCCGACTCTGGGAAAGATAATCTCAGACTGAATGTCTGAGGGCACTGAGCAAAGATGCTAGCTAGGCAGGAGACCTACTCTATAAACACCCCTTCCAGTGTCCATTCGCAGAGTGCCTAAGTGCCAGGCACCATGGCGGTACTCTGCAAACCTTTGCTGACTGAAGTCTCCAAGTACTCATAAGATAATAGGTGTGATCTCCATTTCAGCAGTAAGAAACAGATTTTGGGGCTGGCTGAGTGGCTCAGTTGGTTAAGAGTTGGCTTGAGGGCAAGCTCTGAGCAGCAGGGCCCCAGTTTGGATCCCACATGGGCCAGTGACGCTGCACCCTCTACTGCTAAGATGGTGAACAACAGCTCGACCTGGAGCTGGGCTGCTGTGAGTGGCCAGCGACCGCGTAGGTTGTAGCCCCTGCTGCAGTGGGCTGCCATGAGTAGCCAGCAGCCAGTGTGAGCTACCGTGAGCAGCCATCCCTGCCTCAGCCGGGAAGAGCACAATGACCATAATACCAATATGGGCCAGTGAAGCGGTGTTCTACACAACTAGACTGAAGAACAAAAGGACAGCAACTTGTCTCTTCCCCTTCCCCAATTCCCCAATTAAAAAAACCCCCGATTTTGGTTAAATAACTTGCCCGAAGTTATGCGACGAGTGAAGAACACAGCTGGCGTTTGCAACCAGACTATCTGATTCCAAAGCCCTATCCTTACTATCCCACCCTGCTTCTCCAAGTCCCTGCTGACTTGGATAAATGCTTGTGAAATGGCCCCTGGCCACTTATCATGACTTTATTTCTCAGGAGACAGAGTGGGGTAGTACAGGAAGTGCAATATCAGATCTCTTCAAGGACCAGCAGAAGCTGTAAGCATATAAAGAGACAGAGGAAGGACAACCAGGAGTGGTGGGGGGTGCATATCCCACTTAAGGGCATTTAAATTCAGATTTTTAAAATGGCACTGTGCTGGCAACAAAAACTACACCAGCTTTGAGGTCATATTCACTTGGATTCAAATCCAGGTCCTGCCACTACTAGCTATGGGACAGTGGGCTAGCTATTTAACTTTGTAGTCTCACTCTCTTCATCTGGGAAATCGGTTGTAGGAAACGTATTTCACAGGGTTGTTGTAAGGTTTGTCACCAATGCATTCACACAGGGTGTCTCTGTCCTTAGCCACAGAGGAGGAGGAAACCATGCATTAAGCCCCCAGGCCTGCTGGGCAGGACCAGGAACTGGGCATTATTGGCCCGAAGATGCTCACCCTGCCCACCACCCCTCGGCCTCGCACTGTCTCCAAGGTGCCAGATAGACTGAATATCCTCCAATGTCGCTCCCGGAGCTGTACCACGTCACTGTCAAGGTTCTCCAAGCGGATACAGTAGCGCCACTGTGGGAGTTGGGGGGAAGAGTTCATATCTGAGAAAGTAAACTTTGGGCCAGCCCGCCCAGAAATCTAGGACAGCAAAAGGCAACAAAGGCTGACACCAGCATTGCACAGGCCCCACTCCCCAGAGGTAAACTCCACCTCTCAACCCACCCCCCTCCATCCCCCCCAGGCACCCTTCCTGAGCTCCTCCTCCCCAAGGGAGACACTCACCCAGTAGACATGAGAATTCTGGGCTTCCTGGGGAAAAAAACAAAGAATTTAAGTTCCAGAAGGCAGGACCAAGTCTGTTCCGATCAACATCCCTCCAGTGGGGTAGATGTATTCCAGGAAGTTTGCAAAGTCAGAACAATGCTGTCAATATCTGTGGCTGATGATGACTGAGCTACAGCCAATAAGCCCACTGTGGGGGCAGCCTCCCCTCGATCCATCTCTGGCCTCCCTCCTTGTCCTATCAAGAGTACCAGCAGAGGTGGATGCCAACGGAAGTCAGCCACAGGGCGCTTCCCTTTCTCTGAACCACCCTCCTTGCCAGCTGCTGTCCCTCCACACCCATCACTGCTGCCCTCCTCCTCGGCCCCTCCATAGCCCAACCTTATTACAGTACTTGGTATGGTGTATGCTGAGATTCCCCCACTACTGCGAGCTCCTGAAAGGCAGGGAGAGTGTTCCATTTTTATTTACATCCCCAGGACCTAGGTGACAGCCAGGCAAGAAATAGCTCAGTAAATGTTTGACTAATGCGTAAAAACTGTGAAGATCAGCCTATACAGATGTAAACAAATATGTGTGTATTCTTCATAAACATGGCTCCCTTTGAAGCAGAAGAGAAGGAAGAGTCAGCGTGGAGGACTCCTCCTGGGACCCGAGGGTTTCCCTGCTTTAGGTCTTGATGCCAGCCATTGTTAAGAGGCTGTTCAGCCCCACCGAATACGTGTAGCACTTGGAAGCAGAACCACAGGCACATGGATGAAATCTACAGCCCGCTCCAGCAGTCATGTTGGGGACACCACACAGAATCCGGCGGCCTAGCCCTGAGGAAAGGGGCACAGTCTGGGCACATACCCTCATGCCCATGTAGAAGGGGATGACGGTGACGCGGATGTTCTCGGTTGTTTCCCGGTGGACATCGGAGAGCTCCAGCCAGGGGTGATTCTTCTCTTGCCAGGCCCGTAGTGTCTCCCGAGCCACAAAAGGGGGTGCTGGGGCAAGAGGATGAATGGTTTGTCTAGGCCAGAGTCCAGGGCATTGCACCCAGTTTCCAGTTGCCCCTCCTAGAAAATCCATCCAGTGGTGGCCCAGGTAAACAAGATACCCAAACATGAAGCAAAAGCACAGGCTGGAAGAAGGCACAGAGCTGCTTCCAAGAATAAACCCTGAGGAGGTACGTGACATCGTGGGCAGAGAACTGGCCTGGGAGTCAGAAGCCCTGGTTTTCGGACCTTGCTTTGCCACTAACTAGCAGCTTTGAGTCCCTTCTCATCATTTCTGAGCCTCAGTTTCCATATCTAGAAGAGATGATAGCCATCTACTGGACAGGTCACATGGGAGGTTGAATAAGGTTATGGAAATAGAACTTTGAAATTACTGCTATGATACTGCTATGTTACTGTCTTTAAAGAAAGAGCCGTCCCTTTCCAGCTTGTCTCCTTGAGAGAGATTACCTTTTGTCTGGTCATAGAGAAGAAATCTTTCAAAGAGCTCGTGCTGGATGGGAACCTGATCTGTGGAGGTGTAGGGGAGGATGTCTTCATGGCTGACATAGTCCAGGCCTGGCACAGAGAGGCAAAGTAACAGTGAAACTCATGTAGGAGAGGGGAGGAACGGGCTGAGAAGAAGCACAATTCCTGGCCTTGTCCCAAGGTGGGATGACCCTGGCCCCACTGCTCTCAGCGTCTATAATCCCTCCGAACAGATTAAAAGACATCAGAAAGGCATCCGAATCCTCCCTAAGGCACACCTGACCCCTCATCAACAGGCACCATTTAGATGCTCATACATACCTGGGATGGCATAGAGGGCCCGGCTGTCATCATGGTTAGCCAAGAAAGTCACAGCTTCTGTCTGAGATCTCTGAGACTAAGGCAACAAGCAAATCAGACTTTCTTAGTCACTATCCAGCCCTAAGAACTTGAGGCCCACTGCTGATCTGGGCTCTGTTTGACCCCTCTCCCTCCCTTTGCCCCCATCAGGGTTCAGGCCTTTCCCATGGAGAAGAACCCCAGGCCCAGCCATCTTGCTTACTTACTATATGTGGACAGTCTCGGGCATCAATCAGCACCTGATAGTAAGTGTGAGTTTTGCCTTTCACCTCCTTAGAGCCGTGGCCAGCAGGATTCTCTGCTCTACAGGGTAGAGGAAGAAGCGTAAGACCACCCTGAGAGAAACAGAAGCCTGCCCCAGTTCCGTACCCCTCTTCATCTAAACAGACTGGTGCCTGATCTGAAGGATCTTTAGCACCAGCTGGGTACCTGCTCAGCAACACCCAGCCCAGCCACTCCTCAGTCAGGGGCAAACAATGGAGGACCCATAGCACAGTCATTTGTCTTACTCTCTGGCTGCCTCTTGGAAGAAGGGTGCCATGTTGAGAAAATCAAACTGCTGCTTCAGTCCCCGGAGCCCAGAGTACCCCACTTTTCTCACATCCCAGGGGCTGTGATCATTTAATGAATCTGGGCCTTTTTTAAATGTACTCTAATGATGATAAGAGATTAAAGAAAAGATTCTAACAAAACATCCAGAAATCAAGAAGACTAGTCCCCCAAATACCTTTTGGGATAATTATAATGCAAACTGAGAATAGCTTGGGAGAGCATCCTCGGAAGGCCTAAAGGGACCCTCTGGCTTAAGACTGTCCCTGGCACTCAACAGCACTTTTGTCTCCATGGGTGTTAGTGTCAGGGGAGTGCTCTGGGGCTGTTCCTAAGGCCCAGGAGAATGCTGTCTTCGCCCCTGGGATCCCAATTACGCATGTCTGCCATGAGTCAGGCCTCCTCCTGAGGACACTATGAGGCACAATGACAGGGAAACTTACTTTTCCGGAGCTGCAGATGCCACATCCCGGTCATACAGCCTGGCCTGCCAGGGAAATAGGACAACACCTCGGTAGCCAAAAACACTGTGAAGGAAAAGCTGGGAGGGAAGAGAGGCCTCAGTGAGTCCATCAAGTGCATCCAGGTGGGGCCCAGACCACTAAGCAGCGCAGGTATGCCAAGTCCAGCACAAGGTCTTCCCACTCTTTTCCTTGAACTCTGTGATCCACCCAGACCAACTTCCTAACACTTTTACCCCCTCTTCACCTAGCTGACTTGTACTCATCCTTCAGGCCACAGCTTAGGCTTCTAGGAAGCGTTCCCTGGCCTCCCTCCACTTAGCACAGTGCACAGCCATTGACCATTTGCCTATCGTAATTCCTTTCTAGACTGTCAACTCCATGAAGACACTGCTTTCTGATTTAATTCCAATGCACAATGCCCAGTCCACTGTAGGCAAACCAAAATAAAATAAAATAAAATAAAAAATGTTGAATAAACAAAAAGTTCCCCTTACCCACAAGGAGCCTAAATCCATCTCAGTGGATCTGGCACAAAGCTGATGCAGAAAAAGAACCTCACACCCGAGCTTACTACTCTGCAAAAAGTTCAACTGTGACAAAGCATCAAAGGTTTGCTTTTCGGGAAGCTCCTTCCACTGGCTTCCTGCCATCCACTATGTTAGACAACTTTGCAGTAACTGGCTCCTCACAATAGTCCAGACCATCTCTGTCCACACTAACTAGGAAAGAGAATCCACTGATACATGGAATGCATGCAAATCCAGAAAAACAGAAACCCGCCTTTAAACACTTGTGATTCTGGTCTGGCACCAAACACCAAGGCAGAAAATCATAACATTCGGGCCTGTGATCAAATCTGACCCTTTCAGAAGAAAAGCACACCACGACATGAAAGATGAACCAGCTCAGCAGCACTCACCTGCCCAGTCTCATATTTTCCATTTTGTTTTGGCACCTCAAACACACCAACTGTCTCCAAAACTTTGCCCTCTGGTCGGTTTCTAATTAGGAAGGAAAAGAACAAGCAACTGAACAGCTGAGGGGGTAATAGGATTTATCCATCGGAAAAAGCTACTAGGATACTGAGGGGTCAGGGCAGTGGGGCCGGCTAAAGCAGATATGGGGCCTGCAAATCACCGTTCCATAGAGATTCTGTCTTTCCTCATTTGAGGTCCAGCCACAGGCCCCTCCTTGGTTTCCAATTTAGGTCTGACTGCTCCTAGATCCCTTTCTAATCTTCACTCTCTGCTTTCCTCATATCTTGCCGTCATACCCTGCTTAACTGTACTCCTCGCCTCCCTTTCTTTCCTGAGTCACCCTCCTGATCTCCCACAGCATTTTAACTGTCCTTCTCACCTTGCATTTCAGTTATTTGTGTCCACATCTTATCTCCATTACAGCCTATAAGTTCCCTGGGAGCAATGCCTGTGTCTGATTAGCCCGTGTCCCCCCACCCCCCAGAGCCTACTGTATAAGAGGAGCTTAAAAAATATTTGTTCTGTGTTATAATTCTATGTCCGTCTTCCCATGCCCTTAAAGGCCTTAATCCTCCTCTCTAGATTTCCTACTGTACTCCTACATTGCACCTAGTAGTCTCTCACTCTAGTTTTTGTTCAGATTTACATCAGTTTTCACAGGGGTCTGAAATTGTAAATATTTATCATCTCCCCCCAGTGTGTCTAATCTCAGCCACTAAAAGGTCATTTCTCTCAGTGACCTCTGTCTGCACAGGAGCTCTTTCTAGCGGCTCTTCAAAGCACTTAGTTTTCCTATTTTGGGAGATGTGAACATTATACTTCCCCCGAGTTGATCCACCAGACCCAATCTGATTTGCCTGTCCCATCCTTAGAGACAGTGTTCACACCATCCCCACGGCCTCAAGCCCCCTTCCCCAAGTCACATAGAGGGAAACAGTCTCCCTAAGGTTACACTGAAACCGGAGACCCTTGCAGGGCCCAGACTCGAAGCGTCCCGTTTCCCACTACGAGCATCTTTCTGAGGGAGGCCTTAATCCAATTCGGGGCTGCGGGTTCAAGTCAAAAGCCCTAGGGTTTAGTAAAAGGCTACCACTAACAGCAGCGGTCGGAGACCCTCATTTGGAAAGGTAAGATTCACTCTGGGAGGATTACTAGTTGCCCCTCGGAGCCAACCCCGTACAACCCAGGGCTCTGGACCACGATCCCTTCTCTGCTCCTGGCACACGCCCCAGGCAGCGCAGTTCGGCTCCCGGTCGGGACCCTCTCCCGGGTTCCAACTCCAATCATTCTCAGCTGGCCCGGCCTCCTGGCCTCCCCGCTGACCGGGAACACGCTCCCTATGCTCCGGGCCCCGGCCCCGCGCTCCGTCCCTCACCGGGACGAGAGGTGCCTCCGCGTCGTGGTCGCCGCTGGTGGGAAGACCCCAGCTCCACCCGCCGCACAGAGCGGCCTCGGCCCCCGGGCCCCTGTCAGCGACCGAGGCCACCAGCGGCTGCCCACGACCAGCGCCCGCCGGGCCACACAGCCCGCCATGTCCCACCCGAGCGCCTGCTGGGCTGCTGACAACAGGGCCCGACCTGCGGCCCGGCGGCGGCCCGCCCCCGCCCCACACTGCCCCGCGCCGCGGCCCGCCCCTCTTGGCCCTCTGCCCGGTCTCGCGGCGCCCCGCAAGCTCCGAGCTCCTTCCGGCGCACGACTGGCGGAAGTCCAGGCTTCGGGTCACCTGACCGTAGAGTCGGCTAGAGATGGCGTCTTCCTTGGTCCCTGGTGACAGGCTGGTGCGCGCTTTGGGCCCTGGCGGGGAGCTGGAGCCAGAGCAGCTGCCCCGGAAGCTGCGGGCAGAGCTGGAGGCCGCGCTGGGGAAGAAGCACAAGCGCGGTGACAGCCCCAGTCGTCCCGCTCGCCTGGTTCCCTTCCGCCTGATCCGGGATCTTCATCAGTACCTGAGAGAAAAGGGTGAGAGGCCCATTCTCCGGAGTCGCCTCCTTTTTACCCCCAGAGTCTATTCCCACCTGAGGTCTTTCCATCTCTAGCATCTTTCTGAGGGAAAAATCCATCACTCTCTTTCGCCCGCGGAACGGTCATCGAGTCACCTCCTAAATCGCAGGGCAACCCACTCGCTTCACAACTTCCACGGGAGTTCCTCGTGTATTACAAAATGTATGTGTGCAGTTTCTGCTCTCTTGAGCGTCTCCCCTTAACTTCCAGGTCCAAGTAGGCCCACCTGACCCTTCAGAAAGTTCAGGCTCTAACCCAGGACCATCTCACAAGTTCAGTTTCTTTCTTTTAAGCCACATTAAAAACCAACTTAGCATAGTGAGCTTGTCCTGTTCGGGAGTCTGCGTTTCTTTTCATCTCAAAAGCAAACGTGGTTAAATGAGTGTTTCGTTTGTTTGTTTGTTTGTTTAGATAGGATGATAGAAAGCTGTGTTGGAAGGTCTGAACTGGGAGTAGCATCTGAGTTCTAGTCCTAGCTCCTGTTGGAGGAGTCATTTCTCTTTTGGGGGCCTCAGTCCCTTAACTGTAAAGGGTGGGAACAGGACAAACTGGGATGTAACGTCTTCTTCCAGAATTAATATAGCCTACCCAGAAGTACAAAGGGTGGACGGCTTAACTACTGGAACTAAAAAGGACTTTAGAGATCATCTAATACAGTGTCCTCTGAGTATTCAGCATCACTATGGCATCAACCTATGTAAGGCAGTTCTGTCGTGAGCACAGAAATGACCTAATGACCTAACCTAAAGGCAAATATAAATGGCTTACATGTTAGCTGTGACATTGGCAGGATAATTGAGAGCTGACAGTTAAACTCAGCTGTGCAGCACTAGGAGGTGATCATGTGGAATTGTCTTACATTCTTCCCAATTGAAAGTGATCTCGGAGATGAATTGGTATAGGAATGGCCATGCTTTATGCTGGGTAGAAAGAATAGACGGACTGGACCCTTTCCTGATCTTAATCCTTTGACCTCAGCTCTATGGATCATATGTTTGTGGAAATCTTCTCTTCTCAGATTCCACACTGTACCTTCATGAGCTCCTAGAAGGCAGTGAAATTTATCTCCCAGAGGTGGTGAAGCCTCCTAGGGTACGTAAGGGTGGGTGTTGGCTGAGTTGGGCTTATTCGTGATACATCCATATTTATGGATTAACTTTGGGGCTAAAAAAATGTGTCTTTTAAATCCTTGGGAGCTGGGGTGGGGGAACCAGATATTGTCCTCCGTGTTTGACAGTTTGGGGACTAGATCCATAAAAAAAAAAACAACACCAGTTTCTAAAGCAGTGGAGGCAGAGCTGGTACATGACATGAGTCTGAGTCTCCTGGCACCCTTAGCAGTGCTTTGCCCCTTGAAACCAGTGATTGTGACATGTATCCCAGCAAGCTGGCAACATTCTTCTCGTTTGATTCTTCTGCCTTAGAACCCCGAGCTAGTTGCCCGTCTGGAGAAAATTAAGATACAGCTTGCCAATGAGGAATATAAGCGGATCACCCGCAATGTCACCTGTCAGGTAAGGGCCTGCTCTTCAGTACATGGACCGAGTAGCCCTGGAAAGCAGGGCCCTGCACTGGGAAGAGGCACAGAGGAAAGAAACAACATGGAAACTTGGTTTGTATACTATTCAGGGACCATAGAAGCTCTGTGCTACATACAATCCAAATATCATTCCCAACTCATTCACTGAAACGCTGGACTTAGATGGTGACTGATTCTTAACAGTCGTGGAGGTGGAAATGAGCCTTGGCGCCTTTCTCCTGGCAGCGTTCCCTACTGTTCTCTGTCATGCTCCTGCTGTGGAGCAGGAGAGGGGTATTGAGAATCTATGTCCTTTCTCTAAAACGTTTGATCTGTGGTCCAGAAAAAAATCCAACTGGTCCCAGACAAAATCCATGGAGAAGACAGAGTTAATATTTTGGGGAATAAAGAGGGCAGAGCCCATGCTGACAAATGGATACTCGCTGGGCTGCCTCTGAGTTGCTTCCATTTGAAAATCACTTGCTTTTTCCTTTTCCCAGGATCCAAGGCATGGTGAGATTCTCAGTGACCTGGGAAAGCAAGGTGAGGTACTAGGAAATCAGGTGTTAAAGGCTGTCCCTAGGAAGGATCGGTCGTAGCACTCCTTCCCACCGCAGTGCTCTGAAGCCTGAGCTATTTGGGCTTGTTGTTTGAGGGAAACACAGTTGGTGGGGGAGGCAGCCATGAGATAAGAGGGCCGAGGGCCTCCTTGAGGATGCTGACCTAAAGGTTTCTTCCCTGGGTTTCTCCCCAAAGTGAGGTCAGTGAAGGCTCTGGTCATCACCATTTTCAACTTCATTGTCACGGTGGCAGCTGCCTTCGTCTGCACTTACCTTGGAAGCCAGTATATCTTCACAGAAATGGCCTCGGTGAGTAGGCACTGAGCAAGGTAGGGTGCTCCAGATGGGGTGTTAGTGGGATAGGGAGGGCATATGTGAAAATGCCTTGCATAGGTTAGGTATTGAACAAATATTTATGCAATAAACAAAAGCATTTGAGCTTTCCAGTAGTCATGGGGGTAGATAATAACGTCAAGAGAATCCCCTTTTCTTCCCTTCCCCACAATTTATGGGCTGGGTTAGGGTCCCCTCCTTCCTTTTTAGAGGTGCTGGAGGCTACAGAACTGGAGGCTGACCTTCATAACCCTTACCCCGGTTCTCTCCCTCCGCAGCGGACACTGGCTGCATTGATCGTCGCCTCTGTGGTAGGTCTGGCCGAGCTGTATGTCATGGTGCGGGCGATGGAAGGCGAGTTGGGAGAGATATAACTGATGCTTCATCATCAAAGTCTGGAGAGGATTTGGAGGGGCTCCACGCTCCTAGCTGCCAATCACTGACTCTTAGTGAACCCATCAGGCTCTTTGTATTCAGCTCTGGTTATTCAGGGCTGAGCCAAGGCTATCTGCTCTTCCTTTGGGGAGCCGTATCCTCTGTCAATTGCCAGAGGGAGCAGTATGATCTGTCTGTACCTTCTCCTGATCCTGGTGTCCATCTGCCTTCACCAGTCCATTCTGGGCACTGCTGGGGATGGATTTTTTTCCATCTGGAGTAAATAGAACCCAGGCTTTCCCAGAAGTAGACCACACTGCCTTGAACTTGCCCAAGCACACAAATCAGTCATCCTTTCCTCCACGCATCCTTGACACAGGCTTGTAACTTAGTTATGAAACTTCCAAGAAAGCAGAAAGGTTTCTGTTTCTCCGGTTTGTGCTGGAAGAAGAACTGATCAGAGGACACCAAATAGAGAAAAACAGATTGGTACAACATGGCAGAATTGGAAGTAAGGCAGCTACTTTTTTTTTTGAAAGGCTTTATTGGGGAATTGGGGAAGGGGAACAGCCAAGTTGTTGTCCTTCAATCTTAGGTGTGGAGGGCACAGCTAGCTCAGCTCCAAGTCCAGTCACTATCCGGCCGCCAGTCAGCAGCTCAGGGCAACTCAGTCCAAGGTGCCGGGTTCAATCTTAGTTGCGGGGGTGCACAGCCCACCATCCCATGCGAGAGTTGAACCGCAACCTTGTTGTTAGGAGCACGTGCTCTCACCTGCTGAGCCATCCTGCCACCTATTGGCACCTCAGCCTCAGCTCAGCTCAGGGACAGCTCACCGGGCCATGTGGGAATTGAACCGGCGACCCTGTTGCTCAGTGCTCACGCTCTTAACCAACTGAGCCACTCGGGCAGCCCTGGAATCTTAGTTTTTATCTTCATCCTCTTCCTTCTGCTTGCCTTTTTCAGATTTTCTAAATGCTTCTGCCTGTCTCTACCACTCACCAGCCCTCCTTAAACTTCCTACCTTCCCTTCACCCTTTGCTCTTCCTCCAAAAAGGTAAATAATACAGATGGCAAACAGTTTATCTGCTTTTAATTGCAAAATCCCTCGTACTTATTTGTGTTTGTGGAGAGAGTATACCTACTGTGGATTATCTCAACTAGTAAAAGATGTTCCTTGTGGACAGGGACCATTTTCAGATTTATATATATAACTGAATAAACACACACATGAATATGTATATGTATATATACATTATGAATATGTCTACATATTATTATACATAAGCCTAATATAGGATATTTTATGTGAGTTCTTAAACATGTTCGGGTAAGTGAAAAAAATAGTATGTAAATGCTCACAGTTGACTAATTGTTTCACATAGTTGCTTTTGGTCTTCACAACAGTCTTGGAGGTTGGAAAAGCAAATGGTCTTGGGCCCCTTTTCCAGAAGACAAAACTGAGGCTGAGAGCGATCAAATGACCTGCTGTGGTCCTTCCTCTGTTAAATGGAGCCAGAGATTACTAGGCCACCCTGAAGTTGCTGTGTTAATCTTCTAGAACTCAGATTAGTGATATGATGATAAAGTCTGTATAAGATGCTTAAAAATGATATCAGCATTAGTTCTTTATCCAATAAATATTTATTGTATCCATTGTATTTTTATTTCAAATCTGTGACAACACAAAAGCCCCAAGATTTTCATAGTTCTGAGAATTGTGCAGGGTCTGCCCCAGTGATAGATTTTTTCTTTCCGTTCAGTGCATGAGCTCCTGTGGTCTTCCCCTCCACCCCACCCCACCCCCACCCCTCCAGAGCACTCTTCTCTTAGAAATTATACACTCATTGATTCAGTAGAAATTTACAATGTTTTCCATCTTCTTCCTGATACATAGGAAGTCTGAGCCTCTCAGGGCAATATTCAACATGAGAGAAAGGCAAGTTGTAGACCCTCCTGTTCACCATAGATCACTTTGTTAAGAACCCTTAGGATTTTTTTGGTTGGTTGGAAGAAATGTCAACCATGAGAAAAAAATGCAGGTGGCATTTTCCAGTGTTTCTAGCAACCCAAACTGTTTAAGTTAAAAAGCTCCACTGAAGCTTTGTGGAGATTCCGGGCTGTACTTACCTGTGCTGAACTTTCTGGGCCAGAGTACCCACATAGCCTTAAGCTTTCACATCCCCCAGGTACCTGGATTCAGGTTAGAATACTTCCAAATTTTAGGTAAGGAGCAGGCCTCCTCAAACAGCTTGTGATCCAGGGTGTTTTCTCATGATGAGATTGGGGTCATTCCACACACATACACCCCTTTCATTAGAATGGGGTCTTGACCTGATCCCAACGCCCTACTCTGAAGCCAAAAGGCTTCTGTGGCTCCAAGCATTTAGTGAGAGCTCCTTTATGAGCCAAGTACTGTGCTAGCTTCTGGGGATAAAGAGATAAACAATCTAGTTCCTGCAAAGGAAAAATAGTCACTGTGTAAGGTGGTGTCCATCTGCAAGAGCACAGTTAGAAATGGGAATCGGGTGGCCTGTCCTCCAGTTCTCATCACAGAAAAGAGAACTCTGTCTGTTCTCAGCCACTTCCTCTGTCTCACCATATGCTTTCTCTGGTGCAATCTGGGTCAAGGGCTTCCCTGGGAGAAAGGGGAGTGCTTGGCAGGAGGCCCGAGGAACAAGAACTTGGAGACTTCCCGGTTTCTCATGGCCTGCTGTAGAGGGAGAAGGAATTAGTAATGGTGTGTTGAGAGCTTTTACAATGTGTCACAACGCCACGTGAAGCCCTTCACCCACATTATTGCTCTCATTCCTAAAACGGAGAGGAGACAAGTATTATCCCCATTTCCAGGCTCACCGACTCAGAGTTGTAAGGTTACATAGCAAAGCCAAGATTTGAATCCGATTGCAAACTCCATGTTTTTCTCTCTGAAGCAGAGCAGCTCCAGAAGTGGAGGCAGCTGGAGTGTCCTGGAACCAGTGAGACCAAAGGTTCCCATCTCCCTGGGGTCTGTCAGCCATTATCCCTCTTAACTAATCCCAGCAGAAGCCTGGATAATGCCTCTCACCCAGAATCTGGAACTTGGCCCATTTAGGGATTAGGTGATGGAGATAAATTTCAAAAGTAAACGGCCCTCATCCCCATTCATTTGCTCCAAACAACAATCCAGATTAAGGTACAGAGTTTGGGTTTTATTTGGAGATTAGTTGGTATTACAGATGATGGTGATACCAAAACCCAGTGCTGCCACGAGCATACTCCCACTCCCTCTATAACCTGTCAGGCTGTCTCCACAGCCCCGCATCAGAGGCAGCCGATCTGATCTTTATGAAAATTAAATCAGTGTAAACCCCAGGCTCCTATTTCTACTTGATTTACTTTAATAATTTCTTCCTCTTCAGATCCATGGTTCTGATTAATTTCTCCAAGTGATGGGAGGTCAGGAGAGGGGGCCCTGAACTACAAAAGGGTTGGTCCCCAGCAGTGTAGAATTAGGATCAGCACTGATCTAGCTCACTTAGCAGTTAGTTAGGTACTGGCCTGAAAGTGAGGGGCGGCTGCCCCGTCTGCTTTAGAGGGAGGACGTGTCATCCGCTGGGGTGAGAAGAATTGGGGACCAGGCCTGACAAGAGAGGTAGAAAACAGCCCCCACCTCATCCCTCTGAAGGTCCCTCTTGCCAAGACTTTGGGCCTGTGCCCCAGGAGATTCCGAGTGCTGGGAAGCAGGTGCCAGGTCCTAGTCACTCCATAGGCCTGGAGGACAGTGGCAGGGAGGGATCCCTGAGCTCAACTTCCTCCCCGTAAGAACGCCCTTGTGTAAAGAAGGAGCACGGATCCATTCTCATGGGCTCACTTCTCATGTGTCCTAAGGGGCAGAGTGGGCAACAGGAGCCAGGGGAGGGGGCTTGCAAGTTCTGGACCTAGATTAGGAGTGGTCCAGGTCCATGACAGTGGCTGAGACATAGATCAGGTCAGACAGGCTGCCTAGTGAAGTCTGTGGCGTAGAGCTCTCTGAAGAAATGTGAACCCATGAAGCCCCAGCTGTTCCCCATGGGGCTATAGCTTTAGGCCCCACCTGGCCCTGCGCTGGACCCAAGCCAGGAGCCGGACAGGAGGCACGTCGACACGCTGAGGTGCACTGAGGCGTGCTGTTAGAGTGTGGAAGCTGGCCTCGTGTTTGGGGATCCTGGGGTTGCTGGAGGGTATGTGGAGGAGAACAGGGTCTCTGGGGGAGCTCAGGCCTGGGGCTCGGGCCTCCTGGCTTCCTATTCTTGATTCTCTTGGCCCGCCGGTTCTGGAACCACACCTGGTGAGGGAAAAAGGAGTCTCTTCTTGCTTCAGCACCCCTTTCCCCCCTGCCCCTCATCCCCCCCCACCCAAGTACAGGGAAAGCAGAACCTGGAGGCAAGATACCCAGAGAGAAGGAGCTGTGCATCAGACCCAGAAGCTGGCTGTGTGAGAGTACCCCTACCCTGAGAGGGGGTCACAGCTTGCCTGTATCTTTGCCTCAGGAAGGCAGGTGACCCGGGCCAGGTGCTCACGGGTGCCAATGTCAGGATATGGTCGTGCTGCAAACACCCGCTCCAACTCCAGCAGCTGCCCTGTGCTGAAGGTTGTCCGTTTTCTCCGGTGGGGACCCAACCCACCGTCATGGCCTGCAGGACGAGGTGGAAGTCAAGCTAGTACTCACTTCAAGAGCCTCTACCCCAACCTCAAAGCCCCCAACATACTCTGAAGCCCCTATTCCCTGCCCAAATTTCCCCCATCACACCTTCCCCACGTTCTTCTGCCCACCATTCCCCCACCAGATCACCTGTTGGAGATGCATCCACAGGGCTAGCCATGGAGCTAGCAGAGTGAGGAGCCAGAGGGCCATGCCAAGGCTGTGCCCACGCCACACCCCTCCGTTTGGGGTTTTATCCTGCTCAGAGCTGGCCCCGCCTCCAGGAGGGGAGAGGTTTAGTGTCCAGGTCCAGTGAGGCAGAGAAGTGGGAGGAAAGATGGGTGGCCAGGGGCAATGTTGGGGCTAGGTGGGGTATGGGTGGAGCAAAAGGTTTGAGGCCCCTGCTCCTCCAGGACCTCACAAAGGAAGCTGGTCCCAGCCCCCCTCCTTGAACTGCAAACTCAGGCAGTCTGCGTTTGAAATCCTGTACTTCGTGAAAATCCTCCCAGAACTCCATCCAGGAAATCAGAGAGATCCCTCTCTCCAGTGCTCTCAGGGTGCCAACCCTGGTGCTGGCTGCCTTCAGGGGAGAGTCTTGTCCTACAACTGAGGGCTGGGCTGCTGAGGCTGGAAAGGATGAGAAGGATGATAGTATAGCAGATGAGCTGGAGCCACCCCACCCTCAGCAGGGCTGGGGAGCAGCTGTCACCACCAGATCTCCTTCAGATCTGCTTTAGAGCCTTACCTGCATCTAACCCTTTCTCCCTGGCCCCTCGAGAGCCCGGGTGGGCTTCCTAGAGTCCTTCAACCAGAGGAGGTTCCACAGGTAACAATGAGGGGTTTTAAGTAAGACGTTTGCTTTTTTTTTTAAATCTGATATATCATTTATTTAAAAAATCACTACATTCCCACTGAAGCTTGTTATTCTGATGCACCAAATTTAAATGCTTTCATACAGTTGAGGATTAAAGAATGTTCTGAGGATTATTCATCATTATCTTCTTGATAGGCTCCATCTGCCATGACTAAATGAAGACTCTTGGCATAAAGATGCTGATGTTCATTTCCCAAAATATTCTGAGCTATTGTTGAACAAGTCTCAATATTTTCATCTTCATCTTCATGAATAGCCTTTATTTTCCCATAAACCTCAAAAAACTTTTCAAAGCCTATTTCCTGCTCCAGGTGAAGTCTTAGTGTCTCTAAATGGTTAAAGACACTTTCATATTCACATTCACTGGTTATCTCACCATCACTGTTATCTGAGTGCCATTCTTCATTTAGAGCACTTTCACTGCTGGGATTATCATCCTCATCTGCCAGATCTGTCCCAATTTCAGTCTGCTCTATGTCACAGTTCTTTAAGACTGACTCTTTCTCTTCACTATATTCTTCCCCAGGTGGTTCCCTGAGTAACTGCTCCATAGAGGCCTGAAGTTCTTGTAAATCTGTGTCAGTTTCTTCAAACACAATGTCTTCACAATCAGAAGGTCCTTCTTTGACGTGTTCATCTTCAATTTCATCTATTTCAAGATTGTCTTGACGTGCATCTGCTACAGTAGGAACATCCATCAGTGTACTGAACAGTTTTGAGAGATCTGGGAGTGAACATGTTCTCAACATCTTTGGGTTGTTTGCATCAAATAGACCAGTTGAAAGTCCAATCAGCAAGGAATTTTTGCTTTTATTTCTTGGTGGTGAATCAGAGCGAGATCAAAGTGGAACGGATTCTTCTGGTGAACCCGGAATTGACTGAATTTGGGAGAGTACATTCAAGTGCTTGGAATGAATCACTTTATGGAAAAACGGTTCTGGATGCATAGATTTATCTACATCACATTTAGAGTGCTGAGAACCATCTATTCCAGGTTCTATATGAACTTCACTAAGTTGACCCACCTTGCTCGGGATTCCATCTTCAGAAACTTCATTTTGCTGAATGGGGGTGATCCTATCTTCCATCTCAGTTTCTTTTATCTCACTAACCCACACGTCCATAACAGTGCAAGGCAAGCTACCATCTTTGTTTGCGTCACTTGACTCTTGTAGAACTTCTGTTTCTAAGTCATCAGGTTCATCCATATTTCCTTCTGGTTTCAATGACATCTGTGGAGATGCCTCACTAAACTTTGGACTATTTCTATCAACAGAAGAATTAACAGTAGCTGATGGGTTCATTTCAAGTGAAATACATTTTACTTTTTCTTCTCCACTAATTAAGGGTTTGTAGTTCTCCCCTTCAGGAGAAATATCACTCCTAATGGTTGTGTTTTCCAACAGTTCTGTCTGAAATTGTAGCTCAGCTTCTCCAAGTATCTTTAGAACAGAATCAGAAGGGCTTTTCCCCCAAACTCTTCTTGGAGATCCTCCAGGATCTAATTTATTAACCTCCCCCACTGTATGTTCTCTTCCAAGGCTTTCTGCTTGCCATTCTTTGTCTTAAATTCTGAATTTTAGTTATCCATGCTGAATTATATCCAGTTCCCTTAGCGTCACATGCTCTCTGACTTTTGGGTCCTAGCAATTCTGTGCCTAAAACACTCTGCTTTGCTTGACTTTTGGTTAAGATAACTTCTTATACCTCAGCATATCACGTTTTCCAGAAATCATTTTCTTGGCTCTCCCAAGACTTATTTATGCTGCGATAGATTTTTTTTTAATTGAGGAACTGGGGGATGGGAACAGCCCTGGGGAATCGGGGGGGAAGGGGAACAGACAAGTTGCTTATGGAAGACATTTGCTTTTATAGTGTACTCATGCTTGGAAGCCTTCTGGGCCACTAAGTGAAGTAGGTGCATTTGAATTAATCCTTTGAATTCCTGCCCTTCCCTATCTCTCCTCACTTCAATGACCTGCACCCTAGACCCAACACAGAGGCCTCAAAGAAAGGCTCATCCTAGGGGTGGGTTTGGGGGAGCACAGTGACCAGTTTCCCTAGGGACTCAAGTGTCTGAGCTAACAACATTTCAGGCTCAGGATGGGCAAAAAAGCTGAACCAAAGCCCCATCCCCTCTGCCCCTTCATTCTCCAAGACCCTAGTCAACTCCAAGAGGCAAAGCAAGCCCAGGGCTGGGAGGAAGAGCTTGGTAACTCCTGTCATCATCAGAGGGGCTCAAACTCCTGTTTAGCTGCCGGTGGGTTGTTGAGAGCTGCTTAGCTCAGGAGGAGGGCTCGCACTCATGAGGCCTTCCCCAGCCCGCAGCTTTTATGGTTCACAGAGAGGGCCTGAGCTCAACATGGGCCAGACACAGAGAGGCTCTTCTCTGTCCCCTCCCCTGAGCCATCCTGACAGCCCAGGTCCCCACCCCCGCCCTTTACTCAGGCAGATCCTTGCCTCCTGCCTGTCCACCCTAGTCAGGACAGTAGTCTAAAACTCAGGGCCAAGGGATTCTTTATTGAGCTGGGAGGAGGAGGTTGGAGGAGGGAGCAGAAGAGGGCCCAGCTGTGTGGGCTCAGACTCCTACTTGGGGACAGAGTTTGAGCAGCCCAACCAGTACTGGGCGATATTACGTGGGTAGGGAGGGCTCACAGTGTCCACTTGCCGTGTGCGAAGGTTAACGCGGTAGTACTTGTCTGGAAGAGAGGTTGGGGGAGAGTGTGTGAGACCCAGCTTGGCCCTGCCCACGCCTGCCCTGAGAAAGAAGACCCAGGTCTCTCCTTTTAGGGTAACTGAACACCTCAATGCAGCCAAGGACTCCTGGCCTGCCTGGCTTTCTGGAATCACTGTCTAAGGGCTGTGTTTAGCTCATGGGAACCAGGGGCAGCAGGGAGGACCCCAGCTAGCCCAGCTACGGGGGGGGGCGTGTGGGGGGGCGTGGCAGGGGCTCCCACCTCCTGAGAAGAAGTAGACGCTCTGGATGGGTTCACAGGTGGCAGGCACAAGCCAGTCTGTCTCTGGGTAATTATAGTAGTCGTCTCCTAAGCCCCTCTCCTCACTGGAGAACAAGGACAGCCAGAGTGAACGGGATTTCCGATGGGGGTTCTGGCTGCGGCCACCGCCACGCCCACGCCCACGCCCACTGCGTGAGCGGTAGCCTTTACGACTGCGACGCTTAGACTTAACATTCTTGACCCAGGAGGAACTGGGAGCGTAGCCTGAGATGTAGATCCGGCCAGCCATGGCTGCGTCCACTTGCTCAGGCACACCAGGCCAGTCCTTGCTGATGAAGTGGGGCTGTCCGGCACCATCTATGGCGGGGAAGGAGTTAATGGGGAGTCTCGAGGGCCTGGACCCTGCCCACAGCAGGGCCTTCAGAGTTCATCAGGTGCCCAAGGACAGGCTGTGCCTTGCCTAAGGACGCAGGGCAAGCTAGCATCAGAGCCCAGCACCCGGCCTCCCTTCACCGTACCCCTCCCCCTTTACCTCAGCACAGCCCCTCCTGCTGGCTGTGCCTTTGGCTGTGCTATGCAAAGTCCAAGGTGTGGGACCCAGGTGGCGATAAGCTCCCCCACAAGAGTCAACAGAAGCAAAGTCTGGCCTGAGCAAACAGCTTTTGATGGATAGCTCTACCATCGCAAACCCTCTGTCCAGCCCAGCCATCCCCCTGCCCTAGGGATCCCAGCCCTCTTGAGGGGGAAACAAGACTGCCATCCCTCCATACCAGAGGATCTGTCCCAGAACAGAAGCTCAAAGAGGTCCCCCCAGCTGTGCCGCTGCAGCAAGGCGAAGTGTTCAAACACAGCTGACTGGGAGCTGCCTTCACACTCCTCCTGACTGGGCTGCTGCTGGAACTCGTATTCCCAGTACTGTTTACCTGGAGAGGGGTGGACATGAGCAAGGCTGGAAAGCCCAGAGGCTGTTGAAGTTAGGAGCTTCTGGCAGGGGGCGGGCGGCATCTGAGGCCTGTCCCCAGTGGAGTGTGGAAAAAACCTGACTGCTCCACCACCTGCTCATTCTCCCCTCCACCCCTGAATACCCTTGAAGAAGTAGACCCGCTCCCGGCCATGGTAGCTGTGAGCTGGGAGGGCCAAGGCTGCGTCCACGTTGTCAGGAATGCCCTTGAAGCCTTCAGAGATGTTACGGGGGTAATCGGGGTCCAGGACACCATCCTCAAAGCGCCAGTACTGACTACCCTAAGGGTAGGGAAGGAGGAGAGGGGTGAGGAGGTGGCTGACTGGACAGAGGCAGAGTCCACCACCCAAGGCAGCAGTCCCAGTTCCAGGCTTGTCACCCTAGAACCTTGGGCTTCCCTGTCCTCACAGAGCTCCAGCTAGTGACCACAGGCTGAGATACAGCCTTCTTGCCCACCCTGGTCCCGGGCACAACAGCCCTCAAACCCTGCCTGGATACTCTTGACCCTGACCCACAGCCCCTGTGCCTGGCACCTTAAAGAGGTAGGTCTTCCCCTGACAGTTGATGCGGGTGAAGGCAGCATCAATGGGACCCTCGATCCCCCAGACGTCTTGGATGAGCTTGGGGTACCCAGGCCTCACTGCCTTTTCATCCAGCTCATAGCAGTACTGTCCTAGAGTGGAGGAGGCCGTGTGAGGGACGGGATGCTTCTGTGGCAGAACCCCAGCCCCAGGACCTGCCCCTGGAGTCACCTCGGAAGGCGAAAAGGGAACCATTCTTGAGGTCAGTGAAGGCATCAAAGGGCTTCCCACTGCACGGCTCCTCTGCTGTTGACCAGATCTGTTGACCAGTGCTCCCAGGCCCCACCTCAGGGCTTAGGGTCCCCTGCCCTTGTTCTGGGTTCAGAACAGGTGCCTGCTCAGTAGCCCTTTCAAATGGTGCCTGCAGATCAGAGCTGAGGGTGGTGCTCTCCAGTTGTGCATAGTCAGTGGTCCCCTCATGGTAGTCAAAGGCCCCGTATTCGTCTTCTGGCAGAGTGAACACATCCCCACGAGTCACTGCAGGCAGAGTGGGTGGTGGTGAGTTTCCAGCTGCAGAGAGGATCCCAGGCCCACCCCAGCCATTGTGAACGCACCTTTGGGCTTGCACTCAGTCGTGTAGTCGGTGCAGCAGCTCTGGTAGTAAGAGCAGAGCTCGTCACACTGACACTTCCTGTTGGCGTTGAAACCCTCAGTGCAGCGGTTCTTGCATGATTCTGTGGAGAGGGGTTGTCAGCTGGCACAGCCAAGCCCAGGCCACCCTTGCCCACCCTACATTGGCCCAAATGGCCGCCAACACCCTCCTGCACCTTGGTCAGCCAGAACAACCCATGCCAGCAGGGCCAGCATCAGAAGAGGCCTTGGAGGCGACATGGCAGGGCGTCTCGCCATGAGCCTGGCGAACTGGGTTCTGTGCTCTCTGATGTCTGAGGAAGGGAGGGAGAGGTAGGGACAGGGAGGTAGGGAACCAGAGAAGAGGAGTTGCCTTTTCTGATGCTCTGTTTGTTCAACCTCCAGCCCAGCCCCCAGTGCCCTGACCCCAGAGGCTGCTGTAGCAAAAGGTCACATTCCTGGAACTCTGGGCCTGGGAGAGCTGCGAACAGGATCCTTGCCAAGCTCAGGGTCATCTCAAGGGGAATAGCACAGTGGGTCTGGAGGGCAGAGAGAAGGCCTACTCTGTCACTTACTAGCTGTGTGACCTTGGGCAAACCGCATTACCTGCCTTAGTTTTCTTTTTGGTGAAGTGAGACTAATAACGCTTGCTTCATGGGGTGCTGGGAGATTATATGATCTAAAGCAGACAAAATGCCCAGTGCCTGGAGTAACCCCAACTTCATTCTCCATAAATGGTATTGATCCATGATCTGTTTGATCAGGCACATCTCTGGCTGAATGGTTCACCCACCCGTTGTGTACTTAGGGCAGTGAAAGTAGGAAGAATGCTGGGAAGCACCCTGGGGAAATCTTTTTTTTAATCATAAACAAAGTTTTGTTTCTGGATTCATCTCTTGGGTGCATTGATTTCTCCAAGCTGGTCTTCACAACACAGTAAATTGGGTGTCTATTAACCCTTTAGACTAGATTTGATTCCTAAGTTCCATTAATTCACTGCTCTTGAGCAGGCCACTCTTTGTCCCCATCCTCCATCTTCCCATTGGTAAAGAGTGGTCTAGTTTCCCACACTTTTAGACTCCCATGAGACGTAGGATCCCTCTACCCAGAAAATGCCCACTAGCACAGAACGCCTGATTGTGTGTGTACTTTCAGAGGTCCACAGACCTCCTGAAGTCCTTTCACCACCTGGAGGAAGTGATCTTCAGAGTTTCCAGTTGACTTTTTCTGTTCTGTAATCAGAGGGGAGTGTGACTTTGACCAGTCTCCTCGCCATGGACCTCAGTTGGTTTGGCTGTTAAATGGAAACACTAATTCCTACCTCATAGGCAGGTTGGCGGCTTCATTGAAAAACAGGCATAAGGGACCTCAAGCGTTGTAGAGAATCGTTATTATGATTGTTTTAGCTACGAGGAGGGGAGGGAATACACCCAACGGCGTTGCCCTCACATTCTAGTGTTCTGGGGGAAAACCCAGGCAATCCTCTGACCCTCCACCGGCTGTAGCGGCAACTACCGCAAGGAGCGACTAGAGGAAGAGGCTTGGCCAGGGTGTGGGCGTGGCTGGAGAAGGCTTTGGGGCGGGGCTACGCAGGCGGCAGGCGAGGAGCCCCGCGAGAATAAGAGGCTGGGCGTCGGCTCCGGGTCCGCGGCTTCTCAGCGGCGGGCGCGGCTGCTGCAGAGCATCTCTGCGAGTCGAGCAGGACCTGGAGCCGCGCTTTGTTCTGGTTGCTGCCTCCTAGACTCTCCGGCGACTGGGTCCATCCTTCGCCTCCCAGCTCCCTCCTTCCGTCCACCGCCTGTACCTGCGCCTGCATTCCTTTCCCCTGCCGCTTGGTCCCAGATCCTGCCCTCTCCCCAATCCCCAAAATGCTGACCAGCGCCCTTGCCTGGTAACCTCATCTCCGTTCCTTTCTCCTACATCTTCTTCCCCCTGGTCTCCTCTCGGGTCCCCCTTTTCCCAACGTCCCGATCGCTCGGCCCGGCTCCATCCCCATCCCCATCCCCGTCCCCGTCCCCGTCCCCGTTCGGGGATGTTCTCCGCAGACCCGCGCCGTTGTTTCTGACGCTGTTCCTCTTTGCCTACAAGCTGTGCCGCTTCTTCATGTCGGGCCCACGGCCGGGAGCCGAGTGGCTAGTGGCGCTGGGGCCGGACATGAAGGGCGGCGATAACCTATGGTGTGCCGCGGGCGGCCACGGGGCCTACGAGGTGTCGCCTGGGTTGAGCACCAAGGTGCGGGGTGCCCTGGACAGCACCCTGCCCGAGATGCAGCAGGCGCTGTCGGAGCTGAAGCAGGCCTGCAGCCCGCAGGCCTTGGGCACCTGCCTGGGTGAGATCATCCAGCTGGTAGGGGAGGCCTGGCTGCTGCCGGCCGTGGGCCGCGAGGTAGCCCAGCGTCTGTGCAACACCATCCGCCTGGACGGCGGCCTCGACGTGCTGCTGCGGCTGCTGCAGGAGACGGAGCTGGAGACTCGGATGCAGGCCGCACGCCTGCTGGAGCAGATCCTGGTGGCTGAAAACCGGTGAGGGTCCTGGGCTGGAGGGGGAGAGCTTCGAGTGCTATGGGGTAGCAAGGGCTGTTGGGTGCCTGAGTCTCCCGTGTTCCTTTGTACTGTCTTTCCTGCCTCGCTTCACCAAATCCCTGCACTACACCTCTGGTGGAGATCAGCGTGTCCACTTTGCAAAGGAGAAAACTGATGCTTAGGAAAGTTTAGTGACTTGCCCAGCATCACACAGTGAACTAATGGTGAAGCCAGGATTCACTCGCAGAGCTAGTGGGTGAGGAATGAGACCGGGAGAGGATGAATGGCCTAGTAGGACAGGACTCTTCCCCCTGGTTCTGAGGATGGAGATGGGATCCTATTGCCAGTGGCCCCCTAAACCCACATGCCTCCTTCCCACAGGCCTGGATGCCTTTGTATGCTACCTTCTCTCTCCTATACCATCTCTCTCCCACTGGGAGAGGGAGAGAACACAATTCTCAGAAAATGGGGGTCGGGGGAGGGACACTTCCCTTTCCTCTCTCTCCAGGCTAAAATGAGTGCCGACCTAAGGGTTGCTTGCCCTCCTCATGCCGCTCCTAATCCCACGTCCTTTCTTCATTTTGGTCCATGTAAACAGGCCAGACGTGATCTCATTCTGCGGATGCTGATGGGGAACAGAAAGTTTTCTGCTGGGATGAATTGGTGAGGGGAGAGGAAAGTGAGGTACAGAGATAGGCAAAGGACAGACAGAGCACGTATTCTTCACCCCTTCCCCATATAGTGTCAAGATAAAATAGGTGGGGTCCAACTGAGGCCTGGCCATCACTCTTTTGCCTCTCTCTTGGGGTCTCCCCTAGAATATGAAGACCCATGAGCACTCACTTTCTCTCTCCTCTGATGCCAGAACAAATGAGGCTGTCACACACCAGCCTCACGCTGGATTCTCAGGCCCCTCAGGTTTAGAGGGGTTTTGAAAGGATCACTTACAGTTCATGCAGCTTTCACAAGTGTGATGGTCGTAGGTTAGGGGTGCTTTCCTTGCCATTTTCAAAAAGTAAAAATAATTTTGTGGAGGGTGAAAATGATACAACTCTCAAACGTGCATGAGTGAAGCAGTTTAAATTGTGAGACCAAGTTAGGGCTCTGCTTGTTCAGCGGACCATTCATCGCCCATCTAACAGGTGCCCTCATGGGCATGAGCCATAAATTTGGAAGGCTAGCAAATGGAGTGGGTGCCCACTGGATGTGTGGGCCCATGTTGGCGAGTGTCCCCTGTAGGCCTGGTGTGTGGGATGGGGCAGCTAGAACTAGAACTACTGGGGAGCAGGTGCAGCCAGCGCTCCAGGAAGAAGAGGGCGGCAAGATCCAAATAGCACTGATATTTTTCAAGGCTGGAAATAACAATTCTCATGCGGTTCAGAATTACTGAGGGAGGCGTCACACTAACCAGTGTCCCTGGTCCTAAGAAACAACGTACTGGCTCAGGCATCACTTAAGCACCAAGGACAGAGCACAGCGGGCCTGGTCATGATCAAAATCCTTTCAAAGAAAGGCTGAATCCCTTCACCTCTCTAGGCTGCGCTGGGAGAAGGCCAAAAGGGAAAGAAGGGTGACTCACAGAGAATTTGTGTTTATGAAATCTTTTCCTTCCCCCACCAACCAACCAACCTCCTCTTAAAGAAGGCTCTTCCATCAGTGTGCCCATTCCTTTTGCCATTCTCTTTCCTGCAGCTCTCTTCTTCCTAAGGTGTAGCCACACTCACTGCACAGGAGCCTAGGTGACAGCTTCCATCACCCCAAAATACCAGAAGCCCAACAGGATGTCTGAGATTGGTCGCACAACACCCAGTGAGGACCCCATATGACTGATAGCCCTCTAAATTCACAGCTCAGCCCATCAGGGGAAATGTAATGAGGTTAAATGTTTTAACTCAGAGAGGCTAAATGGCTTTCCCAAAATACACAGTGAATAAGTAGAGGAGACAGTTAAAAAAACCCCAGAAAACTATTGCCCATAAATTCAAAAAGTCAAAGGTACAACAGAGACAGACACTTAAAAGTTCTTCTTTCTACCTAGAGCCCCCTTGCTGGAAACAAACCATGAAACAAGTTTCTTATCCATCCTTCCAAGGACAGTCTATGCAAAGTATTTGCATATACAAGGTCTGACAATTAAGTTCGCGAACTTGACACCGTGCACTTATAATTGGCAGCACTGTACAAATAGCTCGGTGAGGTTTTATATAACCTTGGTATATCAGTGTCTCACAGCTGTGTTCGTGTCAACATGTGGCGGGGTCTTGCTGAGTGGCGTTCATTTTTGTTGTTGCGTGTTTTTGTGTGCCGTCGCGAGACTGTCTGAGCTTGAATTAGCACAACGGACAAACATTACATTTCTTGTCAAACTTGGCAAGAGCAGAAGTGAACTCTGGGACATGTTAGGCCAAGTTTATGGGGATAATACCATGAAGAAAACGGCAGTGTACACATGGATTAAACGTTTTTCTGAGAGGAGAGAACACTGATGTCACTGATGAAAAGAAGTCAGGGCGGCCAGTAATGAGCAGAACTGACAAAAACATCGCAAAAATTCATTGAATCGTGCATCAAAATTGTCGGCTGACTATGAGAAGCATAGCAGACCAAGTAAACATCGATAGAGAAACAGTTAGGAAAATCCTAACTGAAAATCTTGGCATGCGAAAGGTATGTGCAAAAATGGTCCCAAAGAAGCTCTTGCATCACGACAATGCACCAGTTCACACGGCACTGTCTGTGATGGAGTTTATAGCCAGCCAACAAATAACTGTATTGGAACACCCTCCCTACTCACCTGATCTGGCCCCCAATGACTTCTTTTTTTACCCAAAGATAAAAGGAATATTGAAAGGAAGACATTTTGATGGCATTCAGGATATCAAGGGTAATACAATGACAGCTCTGATGGCCATTCCAGAAAAAGAGTTCCAAAATTGCTTTGAAGGGTGGACTAGGCACTCATGTTGGTGCATAGCTTCCCAAGGGGAGTACTTTGAAGGTGACCATAGTGATATTCAGCAATGAGTTATGTACCACTTTTTCTAGGATAAGTTCGCAAACTTAATTGTTAGAGTGGGTATATGTATATACTTGCTTATATATGTATGTATATGTACAATTTCCCCCTCCTTTGGAGCTGGCATTTGAACCCAGATTCACAGCTTCTCAGGCTGCAGAAAAGTTGGGAGCTGCGGGAATAGTTCTCAAAACAAACACACAGTTCAAGTTCTGTAAAGGTGCCAGGTGCATAGGGAGAGGTGAGGGCTGGGGGGTCAAGAGACTTAGAATAAAGTCCCCTCTCTGAACTGATGTTCCTGAGCAAGGCTTTCCATTCACTGGTCCTCAGGAAGTGAGGGTGTTGGGGGGTTAGATGATTGATTAAGCACATCCTGGTTCTGATATTCACAGAGTTTATATAGTCAGATTGTTCTGGAAGCACAAAGTACTGATGAAGGATCTTGGGCTCTGAAGACAGACAGATGTGAGTTCAAATCCCAGCTACTCCTCTCACCAGCTGTGTAACCCTGGACATGTAAGCTTTCTGAGCTTTGGCTTTCTCATTGGGAAAAGGAACAACTGCAGTGCCGGCTGCAGGGAAGTTCAGTCATCAGCTCAGCAAAGCTCTGCTGGCCTTATGCCATGTTCTGGGCGCAGCTGGGCCCTGCAGTGGACACAAAGTTATAAGCACTGTGGTCATTGTGGCGCTTACTGGGTAAGGACTCCATGACTGGTTGGGTCTCTAAGTCTTCAGGGGTAGCATCACTTTTGGAAGACATCATTTGTGGAGGTCAGGAAGACAGAAAACTTTCACCTCTGTCTGGAGCATGGCAACGTTTCCGGCCTGCTCTGTTGGTTTCTAGGCTTTCTCTCTTGGAGCTGTCCTCCCCACAGCAGCCAGAGTGAGTTTCCTAAAACCCATCTGTGGCCAGGTCACTCCCCTTCCTGAAGTCTTTCAATGACTCCCTATGGCTATGAAGTACAAATGCCTTGAGGTGGCTCAAAAGGCCTCCAGGATTCATTTTCTCAATCTCCCCTTGAACTCCACCTCAGCCACTTGAAGTTGCTTCACTTCAGTGTGACTGAGGTGAGGGCAGGACCCCAACTTCATCAGCTCTCATACACCTCCATGTCTTTTCGTACATCTGTTTCTAAAATGCAGTCTCCCCTTCTTTTTTTTAAGATTTTTTTTATT